ATTGTGCAAAATTACCCGATTAGCCTTGTTTTTCACCCTACGCCTTCTTTCGTGCCCTAAATAAGTTCGCATCTGCTGGTCCCTTTTGGACTGGCAAGTGACTGATCCTCACCAATAGTCATCCTCCTTGCAGCCCAGCATTCATTTAAACAAAAGTAAACAGGGTCAGACTAACGGCTGTTTGGACTCCAAATAACACATTTCAATTTAATTAAGCTTTGTAGTTGAGTTCCAAAATCAACCAAAAAGGCACTAAAGCTATTTTTTCATAGTAAAACTTTTAAAAGCCTAAACTATAAAAAGTTAAAATAGATTTTGTGGGTAAGAGATCCGAATTGATTTTGTGCGGTAGTTTAATGGATTTTATTTTGGGGTGTTTTGATTGGTCAAAGCTCTTCTAGTACCACGTCTCATAGATTTTTTTTTTCTTTTATTTTTTTATCATCACTATTATATTTTGGATAAATGACTTAAATATACCCTAAGCTTTCATAAATTAATTTAAATGTACTTTGAGTTTTTCAAATAGACTTAAATATACTTTGTGGGCTTGTGAGCTGACCCCATTAGACTTAAATATACCTCATTTTTTCTATTTTTTCTTGAATCTCTTTTAATATTTTAAAAATCCTATTTTACCCTTTGAAAATAATAGAATCTTTTAAAATAATATTTTTCCTTTCTTGCCCTGTTTTTAAATCACAACAGAACTTGATTGCTCAAGGATCTTGCTCTATTTTTATTAACCTAAGTTTTCCTTTGCAACCATACTAACGCTCCATTTGACATTCCTTATTTTAAGGGCTTATCTTCTTTTTGCACTTAAAAACATTTTAATTGCAAAAAGGAGATAAGCCCTTAAAATAAGGAATGCCAAACGCAGCCTAATTGTCTAAGGCTTCTTATTTGACTAAAATATGAGTAAGAAGCTTGGCCATGAAGAACAAATTGGAAATGGAGAGGGAGAGGAAACAAAGATTTGGACCACTGAAGCAGTTACTCTCAAAACCTATCTCTATAGGACCCTTTTTCTTTGGTGCCAAAGGTTGAAAGCTTATGTGTTGGGAACAGGGGTGGCAACGAGCCGAACTTTCCACGGGCTGCTCGAGCTCGGCTTGGTTTCAGTCGAGCTTGAGCCCAATTTAGTGGCTCAATTGACTCGTGAGGCTCGTGAGCTTACTCGAATATATATATATATATATATATATATATATATAATAAAAATATCATAATTATTAATTATTATAAATATAAAATAAAAAAATTTATAAAATATAAAACCAGCCGAGTCGAGCTGAGCTCGAGCTCGAGCTCAAGCCTTGTAGAATAGTCTCAAGCCGAGCTCGACCTTGGTACTATACGACTCGGCTCGGCTCAGCTCAAATCCACCCCTAGTTGGGAGGTTTCTTTACCAAAGAATGGGAGCTCACATAGGGGAGAGACAGAAATTTGTTGCTACTGTAAAGGAAAATTTGATTGTCTACACAAAAACCTTATTCATGTTCTTTGTCCTCCTTTGTACTCCCAAACATCCTCTCACTCATCAACAATGGATCCCATTTGTTGGCATGTTGATGAAGCTCTTGTCTTCAAGGTTAATTTGTTGAGTTCAAATCAGCCCCCCACAACATCCCACAGTACATTCTCGCGGTGTATTGGAAACATCTCCTGATGATAATACCAAAAATAATGATATCATCATCAAGAAATGTTCCCAATACACAGCAGGGATGTGATGTGGGACGTTGTGGGGAGAAATCTTGTGGGGGCTGATTTGGTCTCTAATTTATTAGCCCCTACTTCAAACAATTTCACCATTATGATGTCAGAATCACTGAAAACTCAATGGCACCATTACTTTGGGCCATGTTCCCAGAGAAGGAAAAGGATGGGGTTGTAATTAGGGAGCATGTTCTCAAGTTTTTGTTGCCAATAAATCAATCTAAGGAAGCTACTAATCCAATTCCATACACTCTGAAATCTCATTCTTTCCATTGATACACATGTAGATAATAGAGGGTAAAAAGGTCTTTTACAGCCATAAGGTATATTTAAGTCAATTTAAATATATTTAGGTCAATTTAGAAAAACTCTGAGTATGTGAAGATCCGTGGCCGGGGTGGGGTACAGAGTAGTAGGGTGTATGTGAAGATCCGTGGCCGGGGTGGGGTACAGAGTAGTAGGGTGTATGTGAAGATCCATGGCCGGTTATATCAATTTATTTTGAAAGGTTGCTTATGAATTGGATTTTGATCTTATTAGAATCCGAATCAAATTCAGTTAAGTCCTATATTGGATTAATGTAACCAAATTACATAAACTCAGATGGTGTTTGGAAGCGTGGGTGCTTTTTGGGACTGATTTTCAAGAAAAAATATTCATGCTTTCAAGATCCATTTTTCAAAAAGAAAAAAAAAAAAACGCTTCTGCCATGTAGCTAGTGAGTAACACTGTGCTGTTTGGTAAGGTGATTTTCATCACCGTTTTTCATGTATGTGCTGATAGGTAAGCACCACATAAGATACACATCAGTCAACCATTGGGGGAAAAGGTTCACTGATACATGAAACGCCAAATTTGGCATTTCATGCATCGGTGGGGTCCCAATTTACGAGGCATGCCCGATTTTTCAATAAACGCCTGAACCAAACATTCATATATATGGGCGTTTGTTGAAACGCCTATGTGGATTCGACATGGCACCGCTGTTTTGAAAAACGGCCACGGTTCCAAACATCCCCTCAAAAAATACAATCCGTTTATTAGGGCATTTTTGGGAGGGCTTCAGCTAGCTTTGGCTAAGCCATGTTGAAGAAGATACCAAAACTAATTTCATTGGAAAGTTGATTCCTCAATTCATTTATCGCTTTCTAGGTTTTTCACCAAACATAACTTCAGGGCTTACTTGCAATGCTAGAAACCCGTTGCATGAAAGTGTCTAGCTTCCAAGGTAGGCTCTACATGAAAAGCCTAAAGCTATAAACCCCAAAAAGCCAAATACGTTTTAATTGAGCTATTAAGGGAGTGTTCTGTAGTGTGGATGAGAAATTGGTGGGTGTGGACCGATCCACACCACTACACAGTCGATCATAAATGTTTAATTTTTGCATTTTATATAGTAAATAAATTAAAAAAAGGCATCAATATGTAGGCAACAATTGCATTTTTTAAATAATTAAAAAAATAATATTTTAAATGTTAAAAAATTAAAAATTAATATTTAAAATAAATAATGAAGAAAAAAATTGAGAAGGAGAATCGTCAAACTTGTGCTAAAATTAACATTAAAAATTATTATTTTATTGATTAAATATTAAAAATTTTAAAATTATTAAAAGATTAAATAAAATAAGAATATTGGACCAATGTAACACAAGTGCATTACACTGAAACTTTCCCACAAACTATCTACACCATAGTGTAAACCATCCACAAAAAAATACTATAGACGATAAATTGGGGTGTGGTCCGTCCCTATCTATACTATTTTATAGACGGGGACCATTCACACATAGCATAACACCATATCTTACCGTGAATAGTACCAAAACGGTCCCATCCATGATATTTACACACTACCTAGCGCCACCTAAATTAACTTTCTTGAAAAACTAGTTTTAATAGCTTCTTCAAAGTGGCTCACTGCCCATTTGGGAGGTGCAGCAGCTTCTAGGATTACATGAGCTGAGAAATTTAGAGAACTGTTAAGCCATGTTTAGTAAAATACCACAGGCAAAATTAGATTTACATGAGCCTAAAAATCAACTTTACATGAAGTTATCAAAACTAACTTCTCAAAAGTGGTTTAGTCAATGCAACTCAATCAACTTAAATTTATCAAAGCTGAAACCCTCCCCAAATGACTACAATTGATTTTATAATATGTTTATAATCCCATATACACTTCTTAATAATTCTGAAATCTTTATAGTACTTCAATAATTCAATGGTTTTTCTTCAAAGTTTCAGCTTAGATTTGTACAAAGCTCTCTTCGGCTATGTTTGGTTTGAAGGAAAATGTAGGGAAACCTATATAAGATTTGTAAAGGCTTTTCTACCTTTCCTTACTTTTTCCTTTAAAACAAACATAGCGTTAGGTTTAATGTTTTGTTCCATCGTCTTCAACAAAACAAAATGAACATGATAAGGTTTCCATAAATTCTTGATTCTTCACATCACACATAAACATAAAGCGGCTATTAATTTGGTTCACTCCCATTTCCAACCATTTAAATCTTTGTGAGTTGTAGACTTGTAGTTGTAAGCCCAAAACATCAAATATACACGTATAGAAGAATCTCTAAATGGTTCTGTTTGTTTCTGGATGTATGGGAGTAGTACAAATAGGTTGAAGATATATAAATTCTGTGTAGTCCCACTTTTCCTTTTTTCTTTTTTGATATTCTTTTTGAAGGGGGGCGAAGGCAGCCCATCCCCCTAACCCAGGTGCCAGGAGACCTTATCAACCAGCTGGTTAGTACCTTGCCAGTAGTCCATTTTATATTAAAAATAAAGCCCTCACCTCTTGCAAGCAAAAGCTTTGCAGTCTGCACACATATAACATTCAAATACACATTGTTTTTACTTTTTACCAAAAAATAATTAAGCATTGGTAATGTTTGTAATATCTTTTGTACATTATATTAAATTTATGGGAAGATGTTACTTAAGTACAGTTAGATTCCCATGCTTTATATATATATATATTGCAGGGAATCCCATGGCAAAAAAAATAAATAAATCCCCATTTCATATAAGAGAGAATTGAGGAAGAATTTAGGGAAGAAGGTGGCTTCATGTTGCATTAGTTATTATGATGCAAAATTTGCATTGCATAAGTGTAAATGAGATAAGAAATACAAATTTTATATCAATTAAAAATACAAATCATAATTACAAACAAACAAACATATGCAAACAGTTTTAATAGACATGGATGGCCATTTCTGATCCAAGCTACTTTACCCATTCGCCGAGGGGGTGATTAGGCCAATCTGTGAGAGATCTTTTGTCAATGGTGGGAGTAGAGGAGTTCAGATCAAGATTAGTAGCATCAATCACATCAATTGGACGATCTATATCTTCAATAGCTCTCCATGTTATATGTCTCAGGCTTTATTAAAAAAGAAAAGTAAATAGATTTTATAAATTCTTCCGACTCATAAACTTTTATAAGGTTTTTATAACTTGCCAACAATTACTAAAGTGAGGAAATACATACAAAAAGCCAATCAAACCATAAATTTCCCACCAAAAATACATGATTCACAAATGGGGGATTCCGGATTCGGGCGCATCACAAAACAATTGGAATGGATCGGATCTAAGACGAATCGGATAAGTCCGACAGCCTTACTCGACAACAGAATGAAGAATCAATGAGATTGAGGTTTGGACTTTGGAGCACAGATACAGTCAGTCCTAATTATCACAATAATTACTGCTAATATTGTAAATAATTAACTTACACGTGTCAATTCCTGGTGGCAAACGAGTGGATGAAGCTCTTGATGACCACCGATAAGGCCTGAGCTCTTGCGGGTTCGAAGAGGTCGATCGCATGATAACCTCCTTCCTCAAACCGAGTAACCACGTCCACCCCAAACCCGTCCAACATCTTCACAAACTCCTTCTGACGGTCGATCAGTGGGTCCCCACCGTACCCCGTTACCAAGCATTTCGGTAGGGATCCGATCATCCCCTCCTTCAACTTCTGGGGGTGGGACCCCATTGGGTTACTATACTCGTGATCTCGATCGGCATCGCTGGGGAGCGCCAACTCCCACATCAGATCGTTGACTGGTAGAGGAATTATACGGTCTTCGTTCAGTCTCATTTCCGATTGGGTCCTCTGGACCCCACCGAAGTACGGCTCAATAAAAATAAGCCCACTGATGTTCACAGGCCCGAGATCCAAGCCCAACGCGCGCAATCCGGCGTGGTAGATTATATTGCCACCGGAGCTACTGCCCATGAGGAAGCACATGGAAAAATCGACATAGTCCCTCAGCCAACGGTCACCGTTGGATTCATCCAGCGCCTGATTCTTGACCCAGAGAATTGCATCCACGGCGTCTTCATAGGCCACGGGGAGACGGTGTTCCGGAGAAAGGCGATAACTGACTGAGACGATCACCGCCGGGAATTCACTCGCCATGTGAGCACATGACTCGTGGAACTGTTGAGTTGCAGAGGTAAAAAGGATGAAACCTCCGCCGTGGAAGAAAATTAGGAGAGGGAGATTGGAATCGGGAGTGGCTTCACGAGGGCGAAAGATGCGGACCCAGGTCTTGTTGGCGGGGTTGATAGTAACGTCTTTGGTGGGGACGGATTGGAGCGAGACGGAAACATCACCGGTTGCTGGAACGTCGGAGCTCGGATGGTGTCGGGTGAGAAAGCCGTCCGGGTTAGGAACGATCTTGAGGTAGTCGTAGGGATTGATGGAGGTTGCAGTTGGAGAGGGATCTGCCATGATATCTGGAACTTTCGACTGGAGTGCCGTGCCGATCGATCTTCTGCGTCGGAACTCGAAACTCCAAACGACCAAATCTCAGCCGCTAAGAAACCGTTTGGGCGCTTTCGTTTGCCTTTCTTATCTATGTCTCCACTCTCGAGTTGCCACTTCTGCGTCGGAACTCGAAACTCCAAACGAACAAATCTCAGCCGCTAAGAAATCGTTTGGGCGCTTTCGTTTGATGTCTCCACTCTCGAGTTGCAAAACAAATCCATGTCTTTCTTATCTGATAACGAATTAAAGTATGTTGCTGGTTGCAATTATATAAGGCTTATGGGAGGTGGAGCAATTATTTTCTCGTGGATCCCTTTTAGGTAAAATAATGAAATAACATCCCTTTATTGCTAATAAAACAAATATGTAGCCAAAATGCGCGATTGCGTGATTGCGCATGCACTGGTGATGACATGCAACGTTTTCACTTCAGACGTAAGCGGATTCGATATATATCTATATAGTCCATGCTACCATGTATCTCCTAAAAAAACTTTGGCGCCAACTGTCTATTCTGTCTGGGATGTCAGTTACCATGAGAATTTTCATGGATAAATTAGTTGAACTGTTCAAAACATGTCCAGTCCAGAAATTGTCTCAACAGCATATGCTCTTGGGCCCCAACGGCCAAAGTTAACCTATCTCTCCTTATCTATTAAATCAATAAGAAAATCATATAGGTTTAACTATTTCTAACAATCATAAAGAAATAATAATTTACTTTCTTAATGTTTAATTAAGTGGCACTACTTTTCTCCATTTTCTTTTAAATTGTCAATATTTCTTATTTATCTCCTAAATTATCTTTAACTCCTATTTATCTCTTAAATTATCTCTAATTTAGTAGAGAGATTTTCTCCAAAACTATCTCTTCCAATTTATCCTCTTCGCCACTTTTTATCTATGACTATTTAAATAAAGTTTTAATTAAAATTTTTCATAATTATTTAAATATTATAACAAAATTATATACTAAATTTCAAATACTTATTCAAAATACAAAATTAATTATAATAGATTTAATGATATTCATATTATTGATAATTCTATATTTTTACAAAATTCATCATTAAATTATGTAGTAACAATATAAATTATAATTTTATGAATTATTCAATTTAAATGTTATTCAAATAATAAAATTTAACATTAAAATAAAACACCATTTAAATATTTCAAAAACTTAATATCATAAATAGCAAAACATTAAAAATAGCTAAATAATTATATAAAAATATTTAATATCATGTAATGACTTTAAAATCAATAAAACTCAAATAATGAAAATTTTTAAATATTTTAAATATTAATTAAATATTTAAATAACAAAATATTTAATATGACTAAATTTTAAATAGTTAAAATAACAAAACTATGTAATAAATTTAAGAAATTTCTTACAAGTAGAAAATTAATTATAATAGATTTCACAATATTCATATTAATAATAATTTAATATTTTTTACAAAATTAATAATGAATTATGTAATAATAGTACTAATTAAAATTTTATGTATTATTCAATTCAATAAATAATTAATATTTTAAAAAATTCAATAATAATATTATTTAAATAACTAAATAATATTGTAAATCACTAATTTGACTTATATCAATTACTAATTGTAGAAAATAATTTTCAAAAAATTAATACTTATTAGTAATCATTTATATATACTAAAATTAATATTTATTTTATTTTCAGTAATTATTTATTATATTCTTTTGATAATTATGTTTTCAATAATCATTTATAAATTTATTTCTGTTTTGTTATTTAACAGAAAATTGTCAGTTATTAGTGGAGATTGAACAACTATTATTTAACTTTTGAAATTTAATTTATCGTATTTATTGTATTCTTGTTATAAATATATTTTTAGTAATTATATATTTTTTATAATTTATAGATTAATATTTATTAGAGAGTAAACTATTATTTGAGATTACACTATTTATTGACTAATTTAATATATTTTCAGTATTTATTGTATTTTTGTAATTATTGTATTTATAGATATCTATTAGATTTTCATTATAAATTTATGTTCAATGATTGTGTACTTCTACTATAAATTTTCAATAATTATTAGGGATTAAACTATTGTTATTTATTAGAGATTAGACTATTAATTTATTTGAAATTAGGAGTATTCAAGGATTGGTTTAGTTCAGTTGCAAGCTGTTTCAGCAACCAAAGGTCAAGTCGGGAGTTTGTCATCCGAATCCGATTAACCATTAGTAAAAACCTACCAACTCGGGTTGTATCGGTTTGGGTCTATTTTCAACTTGGTTTGTTTGTTCAAAAGATTTAAAATTAAAATCTAAATTTAAATTTAATAAGTTACAGTGGTATCATTAAAAAATAAATTTAAAACTTAAATTCATGATTAATTAATTAGTGATATATTACCAAAAAATAAATTAATTACTATTAATAATTAATTATTTTACTAATATTAAAATTTAAAAATTAATAGTTGTTTCATGAATAATTAAATTGATTACTAAATTAACTATTATTATTGTTAATAATAGTAATATTTTATAAATTAAGAATTAAAAATTTTATTAATTCATAATTAAGAATTATTAATTATAATTATAAATTTATTAATATTTTTAAATATTAATTATAAAATTAAAAAATAATTATTAATTATTTTTGTGAATAACTAAAAATACCATAAAATATTACTATTCTTAGTAATTAATATTATTGTTAGTAACTATAAATTAAAATTAGCGCTATTAATTAATTACTAACAGGGACCTTGCGATGGACGAGTTTTGTTAAAAGAATTTGAGGCGAAAAGAGCTAGGGGTGTACATTGGGTTGGGTGGGCCTAATTCAATCCTGACCCAATTCAGCCCAAGCTTTTGCACAAGTTGGGGTTGAGTTTTTGAACTTCAAGTTGGGTTTAGGCCAAGAAACTTAAGGCTAACATAAACTCATGTTGGGTTTAAGTTGCGGCCTTAGGTAGTTTAAGCTTGACCCCACCCAATTTGAGCATGTGCCAACATTTTATAATATGCATATCTGCATATTATCAATATGTTCTACTTAGAAATTGGGCTATAAAGCTCAATACGCCCAAGCCCAAGTCCAACCCAAGATGTTAAGTTAAGCTTGGGTTGGGCCTAATTTGGTAAACTCAAGCCTGTGTTAGTAAATTATCAGTAATTATTGTCATTCTATATTTCTATTTTTGTTATATATTAGTAAATTATCAGTAATTGTTGAAAATTAGCACTAATTTTTCTCTTACCAACTTAGGCCCAACCCGAGCTTTAACCCAACATCTTGAGCTGGGCTTGGGATTGGACGTGTTGAGCTTTGTAGCTTAATTTCTAGGTAAAATATATTGATAATTTGTAGATATGTATATCACTAAATGTTGGGCGAGCTCAAATTGGTCGAATCAGCCTTGGGCTACCCAAGGCCTCAACCCAAGCCCAACCTGAATTTAGGTTAGGCTTGAGTTTTTTGGCTTGATCCCAACTTGAAGTTGAAAATTCAAGCCCAACCTATGAAAAATCTTTTGTAGAGTTGGGTTGGGCTCGGGTTAGGGCTATTCAAACTGCACCCCTAACTCCTTTTGCCTTAAGTTCTTTTAACAAAGCTTGTGCATCGCATAAGTCCCCACTAATATATATATATATATATATAATAATTTAGTAGAGAGTTTTTCTCCTAATTATCTCCAATTCCTACTTATCCTCTCCCCACTTTTCATATATACCTATCGAAAGGAAGTTTGAATTAAAAGTTTTAAGAATTGTTTAAAATTTATAACGAAATTATGTAATATTTTTAAAATATTTATTCAAAACACAAAAAATAATTATAATAGATTTAATAATATTCATATTATTAATAATTCTATACTTTTTGAAATTCATAAATATTAAATATTTAAAATAGATAAATAATTACATGAAAAAATATTTAATATTATGTAATAACTTTAAAATAAATAAAATTTAAATAACAAAATTTTTAAAGATTTTATATATTATTTAAATATTTAAATAAATAAATATTTTAAATAACAAAATATTTAACATAACTAAATTTTAAATAGTTAAAATAACGAAATTATGTAATGAATTTAATTTTTTATAGAAGTGGAAAAATAATTATAATAGATTTCATAATATTTGAATTGATAACAAATTATATAATAATAATATAGCTTTTCATTTTATGGATTATTAAATTCAATAAATAAGTAATGTTTAAATAACTAAATAATTAAATAATATCATAAATAGCTAAATAATACTTTAACTACTATTTAAAAAACAATTAAAATAGACTAAATAACAAAATTATGTAATAACCTTTAAAATTTTATCTAAAACACAAAAATAATTATAAGTATAAAATATAAACAAAATTTTAATTTTATTTAAACAAATTAAATATAACATATAAAATATAAAAAAATTAATTTGTTTCTAAACAAATTAAATATAACATATAAAATATAAACAAAAATTTAATTTGTCTTCAAACAAATTAAAATATAAAATATAAACAAATTAAATTTTTAAAATTTTATTGAAATAATGAAAATAGATTAAATAATTAAGATGTATTGAAGCTTTCAAATAACAAAAATAGGTAATAGCTTTAAAAAAATGTTTATAATAGATATTAAAAAAATAGAATAATAGTTGCAATTATTAATGTACTAATAATAAAAACATTATTTCAATTACGTCAATTAGTAATTATAGAAAATAACTTTCAAAAAATTTGATATAAATTAATAATAATAATTTTAAAATCTTAATCTATATTTATTATATATTTATATGTACTAAAATTTATATTTGTTGTATTTTTAGTAATTTTTATTGTATTTTTGTGATAAATATATTTTCAATAATTATGTATAAATCTATTTTTTTAGAGATTAGACTATTAGTTTAGTTGAAATTAGGAGCGTTCATGGGTTGGTTCAGTTTAGTTATAGGATGTTTGGCCAACCAAATTTACCTGGTCGGGTTGGGAAGTTTGTCACCTGAAACCAATCAACCATTAGTGAAAACTAGCAAAATATTTATACATGAAAAAAATACATATTATTAAATTTTAAATTTATAATATAAAATATTTTAAAGAAAGAAATATAGGAATTTCCCTACTTTCTCATATATATATATATATATATATATATTAAAAGAAGAAAGTGAAGAAATTTTCTCATTTTTTCTCATTTTTTAATTTTTTTAATCTATGTTTTTATTAATTTA